CGTACCCAGCAGATTTTAAAATTCGATTATTTCGAAAACAAAGCATCAAATGAAAACAGTTTATTGCATAATTTCGACGTATTTTCTCACGCAGAATCACCCCCTCCCCGGTTGTACCATCGATACTGGAACACCACTGTATACCTGATCAGAGAAAAGAACGAGTATAGTTCTTTAACAGTTCACCGCTAACATCCACGACGTGTGTGAGACAAATTTCGTCGTATCTATAAATAAAGCAGCGTGTTGGATCTTCTCGGCGTGTCCTTTCTCCACGGTGGATAACCACCGGGGATGTGAGTTACCGCTTTGGACTTCGGCCGAGACACCAAAGAACGCTTCCCGCGGCGGCCAGGCATTTTCGAGCTACGCCGCGCAAGAAACCGCCGACGCGAGCCAGCCAATAAAACTGGAAGATGCTAAACTCCCAAGAAACTATTCGACCGGCGAACTAATTCGACGCTCGGTTAAGTCGAGCACGGACATCGGAAGGAAAACGTTTTCGTCGAGTCTCGAAACTTTCTTTCCTCTCCCTAACCTCCTTTTCTCATCGAATCGAATTAAACTTATCGGCGTGAATAACCGCGATACAAATGAAAACTTTCCCCGGATGTATCGACGAAACTTCCGTATTCATCAGTTTCTTCTCCGTAAATTGCTGGCGAACACACCAGCCTGTTTGAATAGTACGCGTTTTCTGACTCCGTTTCCAAATTCGATCAGGAAGGAAAATTGGCAGGATGCCTAAATTTGTCTGCATGTGAACCGTGGGAAAAAGAGCAGTTCCAAACAGACGATTCTTATATTACCCTTTCACGAGACAGGTCATTCAATCTTCTTACTTTCCTTCTCTATTCCTTTACTGCGATCTCACTCTACCCCCATCACGATCCCACGGAAAACCGCGTATACTCGCCGATTTCTCGACAAACCAATTTTCCACCGTCCCGAGACAAAAATATGTTTCGGGACCCCAGGGTTTGTAGACACAGTAGAGGGAACCACTAAACATCGCAGGGATGACGGGAGGGTGAAGTGTACACGGATTAAACTTCGTTCTCGAAAAAGTTCCTGGACGAAAAGCGTTCTCGGGTTTCTTTGCGCGACGTTTTTCCCCTGGTCTCACGACAACCAGGCGACTCGAATTCCCACTCACCCCCTCGCCCTTTGGAAGGATATCGAGAAGGGAAACGCGGAGGTGTGTCCCGTCGGGGGAGGGGTTTGGTGCTGGTCCATTAGAGCGTGGCTGAAACGTACCGTGTCTGGCTTAAGGAATTCCAGTTTTAAACGGTTTCCAGTTCATCCGTCCGCGCGCTCTTTAATGGACACCCGGCTTAAAAGGCAGAGGGCTTCCCTAAAATGCACCGTGGACGGGGTGGGGTGGTGTTGTGACTCTGACATGGCGAGAAGGGCAAGTAAAAAACGCTCGGATGGATAATGGCGACGAGTATGACGAGAATAGAAACCGACAGGTGCCCGCGGGAACGAGACGCGGACCGAAGTTTAGGAACTACTGTTTTCCTTGAGGACGTTGTACCCTCGTCAGAATCGATTAAGTTCCGGCCGTCTCGATGGCGGAGCGAGTTTATGCATTATCTCTTGAGATTCTTGCGACCTTTAGCATGTACGAGATTCTAAGGGTGATCTGTCATGCTTCTCGGGTAAAGAGAATATTTTCTCATATAGCCCACGAAAGATATATGGTTCAAGGTATAGTAATTTTGATGAAGTGGCTGGAGTTTATCGTGAAATTCAATCTAGGATGACGTGGACGTATTAAATATGATCTTTAGAGCTTCCTCGTGAATTCCTCGTTCAGTTTATTATATTTGTTTATTACACTGGTTTCATTCCGGTTGTTGATCACCTATACACGAATGTCATACTTGTCTGACTATATATTGTCTTATTTCACTTACTTGGCCGAACACACTTTCCATTTTAGTTGCATTGTTACACATCACGGTTTCTCTACTTAGAATCATCTGACTATGTCTAGGTAGCATTGCCCTGTCTGATCAGAAATGGTCCTTGTTTCTTCTGAAATAGTCTTCGTAATCGGAGGTAAATATGAAGTAACAAACGTCTTCATCAGTAAACTCGGAGTATACACGGAAAAGAGATAACACGCAAGTCGAGAGTATTCATTAAATCGGAATAATTCATTTCCACAAATTTCCAAATATAATTCAACGAGCACCAACGAATACTAACCGACCGTTCAAGGGTGTTCAACTTAAGAATTTGGAGGACAGTTCCTCGGATTCGTTGACACTGAAGTTATTGTCCCAGTTCAGCCTTTCCACGGGCGATTGTGCAAGGCCAAACTCGCCGAAATTCTTACTTCTGGGAAACTCTCTCCAACAACTGAGGCCCTGATTTCATCGCTCGAGACGGCGAGCAACTAACGAACAATATGTTCATCCCGCATTCGATTCCGTGTCTTCTCTGTTCCAGCCACTGGAGCATCTTGCACTTTCATCATTAGCCATCTATTGTTCCAGTCGCTCATCCACATTCGACCCATTTTATGTCTTATGAATCAGCAGCTCTCTCGCTCCAGGGATGAAGTGCAGCCGACGAACCATCGTGTTCACAGCTAGATCGTTAACAGGGGTTGATTACGATCGCTTAGGTAATCACGCGTCCACCGAATCCCGACAAAGCAAGTCTTCTGGCTCGTGTCTTCGACGTGTAGAAGATTCTTCAAATTCAATCTTGCTATTACGGATAAAAGTAAGTATGAAACTTCGTCGACGGTGATAATATATCACTGGGGACCAATTCAAATGAAATTAACACGTTTCGCCTGGAATCACGTATCTCAGACATTCCTCTTTATGCGAGCCAAGGACTTCGATCACGTTTCAAGCGCGTGCGCTGCCGATCAAAAGCAAACTGGTTATGGGGTTTATAGTTACACGTTATCGAACATAAATTTGCATAACTTTGTAATAGTTACGTTACTGAAATTATGAAAAAACATCTACACTCTATTAGGCATTTATCAACTTGAATGGACTCCTGTGTCCTGCATGGCAGAAAATTAGTTAAAATTAATCGCTAATAATTGAAATTAGTTATAATTGGTTAAAATTTAGTTAAAAATTAGTTAAATTAAGTTTAGTTAAACAAGTCTTCAAAAAATTTCTGGTTTCTAAGTCCTGACTATTTACTGTCTAAATGATCGCTTCAAAATTGTAATCGCCATATTCCCAAACGTAACCGAAAGCCACTGTAAACTAGGCCGATGTTTACTATTATTCCAAAAAACAATCTGTCAAATAAAACAAATATTATTACTTCATGGGCATATGACACAAACAACATTCTTCTGTTCCGAAAATAAATTTAAAATAATAATACCAGAATCGAAAAAGCAGTTACACGGTCACGAAGACCAAACCTTCCGAGGTTCCGTGTGACAAAGACCATTCCGCAAAGAAATCCTCGTAAAAAGACCCCGCAAATGTTAGCCAATCCGTAGAATTTCGCCAAAAATATAAAAAGCCCGACAATATAAGTACGAAGCAACGAGAAAACGATAAGAGACACGAACGTGTCCGTGTATACACAGCCGGTGCAACCGGAACCGTCGACCACAATACCCGTAATTAGGTTATAACCTATTTACGACGATACACGGTGTGCAACGCGTAAAAGCAGACCGTGCCATTCGGAATCAGCTCGTATTTTCAACGACGTCCGTACATTTTGTTTACGACTCGGAGCACTTGGCCGACGCAGAAACACAACCAGGGTAGGGGGAGGAGAGCAGGCGAGTGCGCGGACGTTTCAACCATTAGCATTTCGGCCACTCATGATTTATTCATGAAGAAGCCTGCTCGCTTGCTCGCTCGCTCGCAAACTCCCAACGGCCTGTCGACGTTCCTCGCCTCGCTTAGCCGCCGTCGCCGACGCGCCGGAGAACGTGCAACAATGCATTATGATTTACTATGCAAAAGGTATGCGTGAGATCGTTATATAAACGCTCCCTGTTTAAGTAGATGCACGGAACGTTCCAGGGGATATACCCGAGAAATGCTCCGAATGAGCGGTCGCTCACGTACCACCCGGCCGCGGCGACGCGGCAACTATAATCGCCGTTATGCCGACGCAGCTTCCAGCCCCGGCGGTACTCGTTGATTTTACCTTCGTACGGCGATTTTTTTCACGGGACCCCCCCCGCCGTTGAAGATTATTCGCGAGAATACCGATGATGCTGAAACTCGGGAATTATGTTTGTTGTATACCTAACTGAATCGTGTTTAATCCCTTTTTGATGAAATCGGTAGTTCTTGAGGATCGTTGGAGAAGGTTTAGATGCGTAACCTTGTGTACTGTTAGGAAGTTCCTATAGATTTGAAACAGTAGAAGTTTTAGTCAATGTAAGAGTACATACTGAAGTTCAAGTTTCGGATATATTGTAACAATGTACCCTTTTATGGGATACGCTTACAGTATAGTAGCTACTTATTGTACAGGGTCCGGCCAATAACGTGTACAAGCAGGTAGAAGGTGATTCCTTATGAAAAAATACGAAAAAAAATTATAGAACAAAATTCGATAATTGCTGAAACTGATTACCACATATGCCCGTCTAATTACACATGCATTTCCTATACCTGTATCTCATCGTCGCGATAGATCAACGAAAACCGACCACTCTCATAAATAGCATCGAATAGCCGCAAAGTACTTAGTAAATTGTGAATTTGTTCGACGATAAAACAGTTTCAAGCCCGCCGAAGTCAATAAACCGACCGCGAATCCGTTTATGTATCTCGCGATCCACACGATCTAGCCGAAGCAAAACCTCGACTTCCTGCCGCGAAGGGAGGGGCGGGTTTGTCCGTGCGAAGGTCCTGTGGGCGACGCGCATTTGCAGACATTAAATATTCAACCGGGCGGAAAGTTCGACTGGCGGCCGTGTGGACGAGTGCAAGCCACGGGAATAACCCCGTCAGGTGTTTGATACCCCCCCCCCTCCCGAAACTTACCGTTCACCATGACCCGGGCGTACGAAGAACTTTCCACGGTGTCGCCTGTGACATGGTGCACGGTCCGGCAGCGATAACTGGAACGGGCGTCCGCCGAAGTCACCGAGAACACCAGCAGCTCCCCGGTCGGCAGCATATGATATTTATCATCTGAAAGCATATAACGTAACACGCTGATTCCATCGTCCTATGCCAGGTTTACCATCCATATCCCTATCCTTTCCTACCCCCTACACCCTATCCTCTTAAATTAGTTAAAGATGTTTGACATTGGTTAGAGTCGGTTAAAATCGGTTGAAATTAGTTCAAAATCAGTTAATTTAAAATTAGTTAAAGAACCCTTCGAAACATTTCTGGTTTCTAAGCCCTGAATGTTCACTGTTTAACCCTCGGAAGGCAGACCTTTTTAATGTTCGCACAACGGTGCTTGGGTCCGTTTGGATCCTTAACACTCTCTACCTTTTAAACATTATTTTCGAACGCAAACGTTCAAGATGTCCTGCTTTTTTACGCCTTCTATACCAAACATAAATGAATGCTACTGTAGACTAAGCCAATGTCTATTATTATTCTAAAAAACATTTTATCCGCCAGTATCACCGAGAACACCAACAATTCGCCGCTCAGCATCATACGATATTTATCATCTGAAAGCATACACGTAACACGCTGATTCCATCGTGCCATGCCCGGTGTACCATCCATACTCATACATCCATCCCCATCCCCCTACACACCATCCTCTAATATTCCCTCTGTTCCTCGATTTTTTGTTCATCGGAACTCTCCGGAGCCAATCGTGTCCCGTTTCGCAGCCGTGGACGCCGCTTCCATTAATATGTAAATTTCTTTAATGGGAACTCCTCTCTGTTGTCCGCGGCGTCGCTGCGCGTGTCGTAAATCGGCGAACAATAAGAGGGGGGATGGCGCGAAAAATGATTCGGAAACTAGGCATCCCTACTCTCTGTCCAACCGTTAATGGTGGCCAACGGCGGCCATTAAACGGGAACGTGTAAAATGAAAATTCGACCGTCGACGACGAACCATCACCGAAACTGCCCTGGTCCGCGTTCGGGCTTGACCGAAATAACGTCGAATCCCACCGGGGACGCAAGCTCGCAAAACTGGCGCGACTGGTTAATTCCATACAGTGGCGCGCGGGTGAGCGGATCGATGCGGGTAAAAAAAATATTCCACGCGAGCCAGGCGAGCGTCAATCGTGTAACCCCGGGCACGACTTAACGCGACGCGACCATCCGCGCTCGCGCCTCCGGTGAAATGCGGTTTCACGCCGCATCCCCGTAACTCGACTCGCGTATCAGATCTTTTCTGCTGACTTTTCGTCCCGGAAATTCTGACGCGGGAATGCTTGAAAGCGAATATTCGGGGAGATACAGGAAATTTTCGATGAGTGTTCGAAGGCTATTCGGGACTGAACAATAAATATTTTATTAACTAATTGCCATTTTATTAACTTTCATTAATATTTGGCATTTTTCAGTCGGTTTTCTGTCTTCTGTTTTATCTTCTTTTTTTTTTTGAGAACGTACATAAGTTTTAAATTCAGTTTTCGTGTGTATGGATTTCGTCGGCGTGTAACTAGGTCGGGGGCTTTTCGGATTAACGAACGTAAAATAATCAGCGAGAGCGTGAATGTATACATACGTGAATGGTAACGTTCATTCTTGTTTATTTGTATAGATATATTCAGCGATGCTTTTGTGTTACGACAACTTAATACCCTTCGAATACGTCTGTTTATATAATTGGTACGCGATAATGACCGCTGCTGCGCGGAACGATCGACGTAATCCTGGAGAATGATTCTGGGTCAGAGGGTGGAATCGATGGTCGCAAAAATTCGTACGTACGTGGGATGGTGGGGCAGCGTCGATTGACGTCTATTTAGACCACGCTCCGTTGATCGACGGCCGAGGAAACCGTTGATCCTGGAAATTGAACACCGATTCGAGATAACGAGATCCCCCCCGGTTGCATTTCCCGCGACTTTCCCAAGCGACGGTCGCGATAATGGAAAGGCAAATTCACGGTTAACGATGCACTTGGCTGGGTCCCGCAGCTCGTCGATGCACTTCGCCAGTCTGACAGGGAAGAGGGCCGAATCGTTCGATTTCGATTTTTACGTTCGCACTGTATGATAGGTCTCTATTGCTGTGTGCGAAATATTAAATGTAGATATTTCATATACTCGGAGATGTTAATAATTACACTGACCAACATCTCGATACAGTACATTTAGTTAATTAATTAATTAATGAAATCGAAAATGAAGATTTTTAAGATGTAACTATAATGTGTCTAAAACACATTTGCTTTATGATACGGAGTTGAAATAATCTTCTTTTTCCCTTGAGTCATAGTTTCATACTATTCCCCCTAGGATGAAGCATCTAACACGACCTTATCCTATCATCCAGTCCATATTTAGACCCTGGCGTGTATTTGGACCATCTCCTCCATCATTTACCGATGCCATTAATCTTTCCAAGAAATCACATCACCTGACACCTACGTTTAATGTACAATACCTAGAAATAAGAAACGGTGCACGCCGTCGCATCCCGGAGAATCAGGTCGACGCTTTAATAGATCAATTAAGGCTCTTGTTAGTATCCCACGAGGGGAACATCCAGCTAATAAGGCCTCCATTCCAAGAAACCGTGTCACGGTACGACCCGAATAAAATGAATCCCGACGAACCGTCGAACTCGACAACGAAGGGTGGAACCGTCAGAGAACATTCTCGACGAGAGTACGTCCTTTCGCGGTATTCGAGGGACACGAAGTGGCCCGTGTAGCTCCCTGGTCCCTCTTCCAATGTAAATTACGCGAAATCGTTGGACGGAGCGACGCAGTACAAAGGCAGCCGGTTTTAGTTGCCCAGTTTTCCGCGCTTTTTTTCTCCGGCCAGACGCGAAATATATTACGTAAATTCCCTTCTTCCGCGGGCGTTCCCCAACAGCGGCGTTCGTGTCGCGCGTGACGCCTCGGAAAATGCCTCCGCGCGAAAAACGTTTTTGCCTCCCGCCCCCCAACCCCCATCGTGTTCGCACCTCGACGTATAAACGACTGCATTTGCACTGATACAGTATTCATGCCCGTTGTCCCGCCCCTCCGCTCGCATTTTCCGACCGATCCACGTTTTTTTCCACGGCCACCTGACTCTTCTGGAGCAGTGTCAATATTTCGACGTTCGTTGCCATGTCGCATCTCTACGACCACTGTATCTCTGTATTGCAGTATTCTCGAGGAAATTGCTTGGAATTCCAGTCGCTGGAAAAATACTATGACTACAACCGACGTGAATGGACGTACGTTACACTATTGTTTATAAATATTAGGACACCTGATTTGTATGGACAAAATATGATGTCGAATAATATGTAAAAGAGACCACCATGTGATTCCTGATGAACAAATAAGAAAAAGATTACAGAATAAAATCTGGTCATTTTTGGATTAGTTTTCGAGAAAATCGACTTTGAATGTTTGCTGGATACGCGTGCAATTGAATGGGACTTTGCTAGCGTGTCTGGTCAATGCATTCTGTTACTAACTTTCAAATTCGATTTTTTCGAAACTATATTTTTTTCTTATTCACATGGTGGCCGGTTTACATATTATTCGACCGGACCCTGTGTATTTCAGGCTACTTTTATTGCTTTATATTTAAATAAATGTTGTCTATCAAGTTTTAAAATCTCATTAAAAAATATTTGTCATAATAATTAAGTATGGACTTCGATTCTCAATAAAAAAAATTACAAACTTCATTCTGAACAATGTTTCTAATTCTAATAGAAAATGGTAAATCAAAACACATAGCTACTAAATTATTTTATCTTCTTCCAGGTTTTATTTCGCGAACCGTGAATGTTTCATGCAGTTCCAAATATACGACTGGTAATGTATTCCGTATGGAAAGGGAGCGCAAAGCATACGAAAATGGTTGAATAAGACAGACAAGGGAACCGACGGAAAATTCGAGCAATTTAGAGACGTTACTGCATTTTGTCGCACCCTCTCGGGACCCGTCCCTTTGTCGTAAAATAAAACAGGGAGGGTGGCTGGAATCTCGCTGCCTCGGTGGATGATTCGAAAAAGATTTTTCGTTACGATGGCCTACAATATCCGTTTTACTTCACGCCCGTCCCCAAGAATCCCAAGATAATTCTCGAAAAAGGGTAGCTTGCTTATATTCACGAAAGACGAAGTCTAGCTAAGAAGTAGATTCAGCCAGGTAGAAAAATATAATCAGACGTCACGGAGAATACAATGAAGTGTCAGCAATGGTACGGCCAAGTGTCAAACCGAGAACATATTCAGGAGTCGACGAAAGAATTTTTAGAATACGGGCTACGTCACGGTGTTCTTCTAACCTCTGTCTCTGGAAGATTGTATATATGGCTTGTTAGAAAAACTTCAACTATTTATCGTCCTGTTAAACAACGTTTTCGAATGGCGTTTCAACGGACGACCATGTTAACCGATTCGCAACCATGGACGAGATATTTCGCGGTATAATATTAGTCGTACAATGGCAGGGACGAGATATCCCGCGACTTTGTTTTGTTATGTTGAAATTAACCAAATATTTTCCTTCATTATACATTTTTTCTGATGAATTTAATTTTGTCTGATAAAAAGAAATAGAATTTCCACGCTCAATCGATTAAAAATGGCGAAACACTTTTTCCATCTTTTATTCGGTATTCAAAACTCTTTGTTCAGATAATGAATTTGCCCACCTCTCATTTATAACATTAGTTTTGTAAATTAATAAACAAGCAGTACTAGATGACAGAAATAAAATTTGTTCATTAGACGATCGAGCCTCGCCTGCAAGTGATACGGGGACACCGCGGCTGATGTATCGCGTGGCTCTACTACTGGCAAAATTTCAAGCTGCGAACGGTAGAGTTGCTCGATAAAAAATCCACCGACAATTTATTCGACCACTTGCTAGACCATACGCCAACCGTTCCGCGCGAACGTTATATATATATGCAGGAGAAATTTGACCGACCGCATGCTACAAATGAGTGGAAACCCGATAACCGAATATGGAAAGTATCGGACGTAAATACCGTAACTGTTCGAAACTCTTGGGGAACTTTTTTTACGCTCTG